CGTGTATGTGTGCGCGCGCGTGTGTGTGTGTGTGTGTGTGTGTGTGTGCGGGGGCTCGTGCTCGCCTCCGTTACTACGGAGTCACGCTTATACAGGAGAGGTCTTGTCCGCGATATCCCGCGGGTGATCATCAGCAGGTGCTCGTTCGACGACTCCGTTCGACGCGACAGTAATCGGGACGTTCTCGCCCGCTTGGCGGGATATTAAGACCGCGCGTTCCGTGATATTCCGCGAGAGTCTCGAGCGGAGAACATGGCACAGCCGACGAGTAGCGCGTTACGGGCGCTCGCCCTCGAATACAAGAGTCTGCAGGAGGAGCCCGTCGAGGGCTTTCGCGTCAAGCTGGTTAACGAGGACAACATGTTCGAGTGGGAAGTCGCGATCTTCGGTCCGCCCGACACTCTTTACCAGGGAGGATATTTCAAGGTACGTATTGCCGTATTGTCGTTGCTGTTTACGCGAGATATATCTCCGTATTGATACCTTCCCTCGTGTATATATTTACACGACGATGGTAATCGATGGTGTCTAGATTTGCGCGACGTCGTTCTTGGTTATGTCGATGACCATCCGTCGCGATCGTTCCCGTTTCTCTTCCTCCGTAACGGATTATATATGTATATAAAAAGAGCTCGTCGATTTCAACAACGCATCGGGAATTATATCGGTCGGTATGCTTACTTTCCAAGAGACAGAGAGAGAGAGAGAGAACGACATTCTCTTTCTCTCTTTACCACGGAAAGCACGTAAACAAAGGAGCACGAGCTGGTGGCTTTTAAAAATGTTGCATGACGACTATTCCACTTTTTATAAAACACGTATATAACATAGATATGTGCTTTAACCTCGCGCGCAATGTAGCTCGATATTATTGAGCATCGTTTCGGTTTGCCAGAAAATTCATATGTGCAAGTTGGACTAATGACGCTATCCCTGATATACATTGCGACGTACGATCTTACGACTTATCGCTAAACGATATATCGCAAACTGAAAATACGTTACGAAAATTCTTATTCAAGATCGAAAAAGACAGCAGAGCGGAGAAAGTTTATAAATTAATTTTGATATAGTTTACAATTATATTTAATCAATAAGAAGGAATTTGAGTCATCCTGTGTAAATCAATAAAATAAATTGCATTGATAACTTTGTATCTTATCGAAAATCAAGTGCCTAGATTTCACGTACTTGTAAAAAAAGTCATTTAATTATCTATTTACAGAGGTTTGAAGTCTTCTTAAATATAGACTGCTACGAAATATAATATTATAGTTGAATAAATACGAATTTCTGTGTAATATATACATAATTATATATTATTAAGATAATGATGAGTTATCATCAATATCTGCGACAATAATGTCTCGATAATAAAACGAATACGAGTCTTTTATCATCGCCAAATATTTACACGCGTGACATTGCGGAAATTCGTGTTCGCCGCATATGGTCGACCGTCTTATTTGCCATCCTTGAGCTTTAATGTTTATCACGGAAGCTTTGCATTTCTCTGCCAAGAGAATCGTGACAATCGTACACGCGCGAGTCGTATTGAGACTACCTTGACCGGCAAAGTGACAATTGTTGGCAATAGACGTTTTTCCCATTTCCCTCGCTCTTGTCGAGAATTTTACCCGACCCTACATTAATAAATCTGACAGAATTGGAGATCTCAAATAATGAGGCAACAATCAGATAAATCGACTTTAGATTCGTAATATCGGGAAGTTGGTTTTAAAGTCGTGTTCGAAGATCGCATATCGCGAACGTAGCAGGTAAAAAAAAAAAAATTACGTAGAACGTGAGAAAAAAATTTGATGTAATTTTTCGTCTCTGACGTCATATGCCAATAGAGTTGCAGCAAGGAGAAGCGAGAGAGGCTTAAATGCCCGGCCAGGTTAAACGCCAGACAGTAGAATGAGTTTTCTGCCATTGCCGTTGCGGCTGTAAAGTTTTTTTTTTTTTTTTTTTTTTTTTTTTTTCCCCTTCTGGTGTCTCCTTTTTTTTTTTGCGCGCTTCATCACGCCGCGAATATTCTCGAACGTACTAATATCTCGAGATCGTCGCGGCATCCTTTTATAACGAAAAAAATGGCGATAACGCGCTCCGATTAACCGAACTGGATATTGGCTCTCGGACGCATCTCGTCACCGGAA